AAAGAAGGAGACACAGACAGATTTAGGATTGGTTTATAATAAACAAGGTAGAGAGGCCCAAGGCTGCCAAGTAGGTGGGAGTGGGGAGAAATAAAGCATCTTAGTTTCGGAGCAAAATGCTGTTATTAAGTATAATTGCATCAACTTGATCCAAATCCAATATTTCTTATTCACTGAAAAGAAACATATTAAAATAGCAGCAATTTCCTTTACAAATAAACACATTCAGCCAAGGAAGCGTTGACCAAAAAAGTTTAACCCTAAAGGTAATAAAAAGCAGGAGTGAAATTATTTCAGTGCTTCTAATTTCAAATAACAACTTCTAAATATAAATAGGCTAGGGCTGAGTAAGTAATAATCACTTTTAAAATTCTACTGAAAATGACAATGAAATTCTTTCAGTCTAATCCTATACTTTTATGTTAAAGTATATAAAAATAAGAAAAATCTTGCAATGAATAATTAAAAGTTACTGCTATATATTAACTGTGGAAACCATTAATGGCAATATTTGCACTTAATTGATTATAATTATGAAATTTAAAAAGCTATAAGAAATAGAAGTTTCACTCACAAGTACCCAGGGTTAGATGTGACAGACTATTTTTGAGTATAAGCATCTTGATGCACACTATATGGAAAGTTTGGGTTTTCACTCATAATAATTTCAGTTCCTATTGGACCCATGGCTTGTATCTGGACCAGAAACTATAAATTAACCATAAATATCTGCTGAGAAGCCCTATCTCTGAGCCTCTCTGAGTATGCTGACTCTCGAAATAAGCACATCCCTTGTAAATAATGTATGTGTAAAATAAGAATTTCAACGAAATGGTCTCAGTAAAGTCTTTCTATCCATCACTATCCCCCGCCCCACACAAATACAAAAACCACAGTGACTTTTTTTGTTTACAGATACTGGCTCCTGAGAGGCATGAAGACTGTAAGCCAAGATGGGCTGCACACCACCAGCACGGGTCTGTGTTCTTGCACACAAGCTGTCACTTGAGGGGACGAAGAGAACAGCTCTTGGATGGAGATATGGACTTGGATGGCTATATGGACTTGGATGGCTATATGGACTTGGATGGCTATATGGACTGCTGCAAGAATTACTCTCCAGAGGAGAAATACTTGACATTGCCGGGCTGGCAAGGTGTCTTTCCTGTTCTAAATCCTTCTAAGTAAATCTGATGTAAAATGTCTGGTGAGTCTGAGTATTTGGTTGAACTTAAAAGACCATTTGGTGGATGCTACAAAGACCAATCTCAAAACTTTAAATTTTCCTTCAACTACAGAATAACTATCATTTGTGTTATGTGCATAGCAATTAGAATTACATGATGACATTTTCTCATAAAACATGAGAAAGCAACTTCTTTTTAAAATATTCAATGTTTTCAAAGCAGTGTTTCCATTTTCCCAATATTCAGATTTCAGATTAACCAGTAATGCAAATATGAATGCCCTTACTTGAGCTTCAACCATTACACAGTCATGTATCAATGAACGATGGGGATACATTCTGAGAAATGTGTCACTAGCCGATTTCATCATTTTGTGAACATTGTAAAGAACACTTAGACAAACCTAGATGGCACAGCCTCCTGCCTGGGACATACTGTAACTACTGTAGACTTTATAAACACAGGACACTTAGGCTACACTAAATTGATTTTAAAATATTTTTCTTTCTTCAATAATAAATTAACCTTAGCTTAAGGTAACTTTTCCACTTTAAAAACTTGTAATTTTTTTAACTTTTCAACCCTCTTATAATAACACTGAGCTTAAAACACAAATACTTCGTACAGCTGTACAAAATATTTTTTCTATTAGCATTTTTCTATTTTAATTTTTTTTTTTTTTTTTTTTTTTACTTTTTAAACTTTTTTGTTAAAACTGACACTAACACACAAGAGCCTAGGCCTGCACAGGGTCAGGACCATCATTATCACTGTGGTCCACCTCCTTGTCTTGTCCCCCTGGAAGGTCGTCAGGGGCTATGACATGCATGGAGCTGTCATCACCTATGATCATGCTGCCTTCTTCTGGAACATGTCATGAAGGACCTGCCTGGGCTCTTCTTGAGAAGGTTTCACTCTTTCCAGAAATAAGTCCACAGTGGTTTACTTGGTTTGCTTCTTTTTTCCATCATAGATTTCCTTGTAAGCAGATCATATCCCATGAACATTCCTCCTTATTGATAAAAACCTTTTGGTGTTGAGGTCCATGTGAGCAAACTCTTTAAGGAGCTCTTTGAGGTCTGCAAAAACTTCTGCTAAACATTTCACTGTGGGTCTTCTTGGAGGTTTTTCTTTTTCTTCTCCTGCAGTTTCCTTTTCTCTTGCCTCTTGTTCAGCTGTGTGTTCCTGTTCCAGGTCAAACAACTCCTCATTAGTCAGTTCCTCAGGAACTACCTCGAGGAGCTCCTCTATGCCATCTTCATCCAGTCCCAGGTTCAAGTTGTTCGCCATCTCAGCCACAGCCTTGCTGATTTTTGCAACTGCCTCATCCTTGGCAAATCTTTTGTTGTCATGGACAAACCTTTTGAGTGTCTTCTTCCAGATGCCATTCATTTACTTCTTGGTGACATAACCCCAAGCACAGGCAGAGCTCTTGATGTAGCCACTGATGCTGAATCCTTCCAGAATTTCATCAGCATCTTCTCAGTTTTTTCCTGTTATAACAATAGCTTGGGCATAGGTCCTCATCAGGTAGCAGGCCTTAAAAGCAGCTATGACTCCTTGATCTGTTGGTTGGATCAAAGAGGTGATATTTGGAGGGAGAAACACAACTTTGATACTAGAATGAAGATCACCAATACAAGTAGGGTGTCTGGGACCATTATCAACAATAAGCAAAATCTTTAAAGGTATTTAATTCTCCAAACAGTACTTCTCCACTCTGCTGGCACAGCAACTCAAGGGGCATCTGGAAAGAGCTGTCATCTACGTCTTCTTAGAGCTCCTGAAGCAGTTTGTGCTCATTCATGTGTTTGAAAGCCCCATGATTCTCGCTGTGCCAGGTCACAAAGGGTTGCATTTGTAGCCTGCAGCATTGCCCCAAGCAAGACTCTTATCCTTCAAAGCCTTGAAACCCGGCACTGACTTGCCCTCCTCATGGACGAAAGTCCTTTCAGGCATCCAAATACAGAACAGGGAGGTTTCACCCACACTGAATATTTGCTCTGGTAATTTTCCTCCGCTGTCAGCTTATCTAGAGTTTCCAGAAATTCTTCAGCTGCCTTCACATCAACACTCACACACCACTCACCACTCACTTTCACATTATGTAATGAGTAACAATTCTCGAATTGTTTAAACCACCCAGAGCTACCAGTAAATTCAGCAGTGTAGTCGGGTCCAGCCTTTTCTTTCAATCTCACAAGCAAACTTTTTGCTCTGGCCGTGATCGCCATGGTGTTGAGACAGATATGCTTCTGTGTCTGGTCTTCAAACCAGGTCATTAGCAGGGTCTCCATGTCTACGAGTATGTAGGCCCTTCTTGAATTTTCGTTAGTCTCACTGCCTTCAATGAAGCAGATCCTTGAAGGGCTTCCGTCACTTTGTTCTTGTTCTTCAAGATCATGGCTGTGGTGGGATGGGGCATGCCTGACTGGCAAGCAATACCCATCACTGATTTTCCACCTTTGTGGTCCTTCATCACTTTTCATTTCATTTCGAGGTCAGTCACTATATGTAGAATTTTACTGGCAACATTAGCAGTGCATTTTGTATGCTTAAGGGGCCATGATGAACAAAACAACACAAGATAAAATCAAGCACAAGAAAAAATGATGCAATCAAGAGACTCGGTAAACACGAGATATATGAGTCTGCTGCCAACATAATAGGGCATACCGTTTTACAGCACTTTTTTATAAATAGAAAGAGTCCATTCTAAAATAACAATAAAAAGTGTAGCATAGTAAATACACAAACCAGTAATCATTTATTATCATTAGCAAGTATCCTGTACTGTACATCATTGTAGGTGCTATACTTATGCAACTGGCAGCACAGCAGGTTTGTTTACAACAGCATCACCGCAAGCACTCGAGCCATGCATTGTGCTACAATGTTACGACAGCTACAGCGTCACTAGAGACTATACAAATTTTTCAGCTCCATAATAATCTCATGGTACCACCATCATTGACCAAAATGTCATTATGTGTGTGGTACATAATATTCAGCCTCTAAATTTGGGGGGATTAGTCATACTGATCAGATACTATAGGAATCATTGAAGAATTCTACATATGGTTTCTAAATGTTCAATAAAAAGATATATTAATAATAAGCAGAACTGAATAGATCTGGGAACCTATGAAGCTTTATAGAAAGTGTGCTTCTATACATTTACCGAGATTTTCAATTCCTAACATAATCTGAAATGCTAAAGAGTTTGACAGGATCTTGCTTTTTGGACTGACAACCTAGAAAAATCACACACTTAGAGATCTCATTTCTCTCATTTTTGATAAATTTTGTAAATTTAATGTTAAGATATGGATTTTGTCTTTCATTTTAAATGCAAAGTGGCCCCATTTAAAATCTAAACTGTCTAAAACACATAATTATTAGAAATTCTGCACCACTTGACATAATAAGGTCTGAAACAAATTTTGAAGCAAAATAGTCTCACAATCTAACAATAAGTGATCTTTAAATGGGACCCATCAAATGCTTGAAGAAATCCTTTTCTATTTTAAAGAAAATAATCTGTCAGACAATTTTCTTGAAATCTTTAATGTACAAAGGCTATCTCACTAGAAATACTAACTAAAAATGATTAATGGTTCTAATTAAGGCTTTTTTATATCCTACTTTTCTAATAAGTTCCATTTTAAATTATTTCTGTTGACATCATTCACACTACAATGTCACTTGTTATTTTTTAGTAAAATTACTTGCCATTGTTTCATACAACTTCTAGAGAATTCCTTGATTAAGATCCTCTTTAAAAAAAAAACTGTATTAAATTAAATCACTTACTGTAAACAGCCCACTCTTACTGCTACAGGAATGTGAGGCAGTTGAGTGACCCACTTCAGTGTCACATCCTGATAAATATGCAACATGTTATTATGGTTTCCAATCAAAGTATTTATGGTTCCTTCAGAAACTGTAGGTTGAAGATAGTAAAAGACGATAATAAGAAAAAACAGTCATTTGCAACAGTATATTATATCCCTTTTAGGAGATTTATGATACAAACTAATTATAATATCTTGATGTTAATGCATAAAGATTTTAAGTAATAAAACATTATTTTTCAACTTTAAGCTACCAATATCAAAAAGAAAAAAATTATAGATTTGGAAAATCTAACCAGTGGCCAACGTTTTTGCATTTCATCTAGAAGCATCAATTTCATTAATATTTAACATATTTAAGCTATTGATTTACTGGACATTCACTACAGATAAGTCATTCTATGAGGCATTACTATGCTCCCTTCTGCTTATAAAAGAGCCTGATGTGCTCTTGGAAGCATTTTGAACAGCCACATTTTGGAAAGCATTAATGTATGCATGAGGCCAGCTCTACAAGCCATTTCGTACAAAGCAAAATGACTGACAAACCCAAATGTGTGCTTTGTCTCAAACCTCTATTCAAACTTTAAAAGTTAAAATTTCCATTACACGTTCAGTATAAAACTATTTTCCTAGACATTAAAAATGTATGTGTGTGTTTGGCTTTTTCTGATGTATATAACACAGCCTCGACATGTGGAGAAGATAAAAGGAAAGCTTTCTACACACCTGAGCAGTACGGAAGAAAACAACTTGGGCTACAATCAAGTTTCTTCATGAATCGAATTTGTCCATTATCCTTTAGGCAGAAAAAGTTTCTTTCACCGAGGACAAAAACAGAAGATGCCGACTGATTGAAAGAGACAATACGTATATCAAGGGCTTGCTCTCCAATATTTAGAGTCCAATCTACCTGTAAAGGAAAACCTAAAATCAGTTTAGTTGCTAAAAACAGAACATTTCAGTTACTTTCGGAGCAACACAAGAAACGTCTTTACAACAAAGCAGCTATACAGATTGGCTAATCTTCATTTGCTTTTTCATTTTTGCTATGACCATATTTGATATTTTATAGGCTCTAGTAGTTTTTTTTTTCTCTTAGTGGAGCCATCCTGCCACCTGTTGGCAGCTCAGCAGCAGCTCAGCTCGGGCCGGGATTTGAACTGCTGTTGCTGAGAGCTCACACTCTTGAGTGAGCTCTTAACCAACTGAGCCACTCGGTCAGCCCACGACTCTAGTAGTTTTTACCCCACCTTTTATCAGATGATATTAGCTATTCAGTGCTTCAAAATACTCATATAAATTTATCCAAGGATGTGAAGGATCTGTACATTGAAAATTATAAAATATTGATGAAAGAAACTGAAGAACACAAATGGAAAGATACTTTGTGTTCATGAATTAGATGAATTAATGTTATTAAAATGTCCATACTACCCAAAGTGATCTACAGATTCAAACCCATATTAAAATTCCAATCACATTTTTCACAGAAAGACAAAAAAAACCTAAAATTCAGAACCACAAAAGGCTACCCATACCCAAAGTCATCTTGAACAAAAAGAACAAAGCTGATGTCACCACACTACATGATTTCAAAATATACTACAAAGCTATGCTAATCAAAGCAGCCCAATACTGGCATAAAAACTGACGTCTAGACCAATGGAAGAGAATAGAGAGCCCAGAAATAAATCAATACATTCACAGTCAATTGATCTTCCACAAAAGCATCAAGAATACACAATGGAAAAAGGACAGTCTCATCAATAAGTGGTTTTGGGAAAACTTAATTTCCACATGCTGAGGAATGAAACTGAACCCCTATGTCACACCATATACAAAAGTCAATTCAAAATGGATTAAAGACTTATAACATGAGAGCTAAAACTGTAAAACTAGTAGAAGAAAACTTAGAAAAAAGTTTCCTGGCATTGATCTGGGTGATGATTTTTTGGATATGACCTCAAAAGCATAAGCAACAAAAGTAAAAAATAGGGACTGGCATCAAACTAGAAAGCTTCTGCACAACAAAGGAAACAATCAACAGAATGAAGAGACAATCTACGGAAAGAGGGGAAATATTTGCAAACTATATCTCTAATAAGTGTTTAATATCCAAAAATACATAAGGAAGTCAGACAACTCAATAGCAAGATAACAACTAACAAGATAACAAATAACACCAAGAAATCATTTGATTACCATTTAGTTCAAGTGTAGCCTACCTATATGAAAAGATCGCACTGGACAAAAGACATGAATGTCAGAGTCGTGGCAGATATATTTCTCATTACATATTAATAGGCTGGCATTCTAGCATTATATATCAGTGTCTGTAACTCAGATGATGTGTCCCTGACTTGGAGAGAGGATGATTCATTCAGAGTGCACAGGCAAATCAGGTTTCTGAGGCTGCAGGCTGAGATCCAGCCACTAACTACTTTCCATTCACTACTTACTGAGTGCCACTCTCTGTGACTTTACCCTTAGGAACATGCACAACATTGTAAATTAATAAGTCTCAAAAAACACAGAGGTTTACTAAACCAATAATTTTAAAATTCTTCCACCTCCAGCCAAAATGGAGTAATAGGAAAAAAATTTACCATCCCACCTGAAATAACCACAGCATGGACAAAATATATGAAACAACAATATATGGACAAAATATATGCAAGACACTGGATATCAGACAACAAAGGACAGCAACCCCTTAATGACAGAAAACAAATGAGGTGAGTGATACGATGGCTCCAGCCCCAAGAGAGATCTCAGGCTAAGGCACGGGGGCGGGAACAACCGAGGCAAAACCCAGCAAACTCCCTGCATTGAGAAGATGGGCAATGAAAGTTCGGAGAAAATAACGCAGCTTGAGTTCACAAGCAGTGTGCGAAACAGGAGGGAGAATCCTCTCCAATATCCGGCTGCATATTTGTCAGCACATTTATGTCAGGAAACTACCCAAGGCCAGGAGAATAACCAGCAGAAAGGACTACAGGGCCTAGAATACTGCCTGTGCCCACCAGCCAGGCCGGAACACCTCATGATTCAAAGGGAGCTGGGTAAAAGCACTCAAAAGGGTCTTGGCTCGGGAGTGGGGGATAAGAAGCCCCAGAACGAGCACTGTCCCGGCCCCACCTAAGAAGACTGAAAAGCAAGACTCAAAAGGACCAAAGTGCTTCCAACTAACTTAACTGTGTCCCAGGCCTAAGCTCAAGCACAGTTGTAGGAGTACAAAAATATCGAGCACCCAGCAAAGTAAAATGGACTATACCTGGCATCTAATAAAAAACTACCAGTCATGTCAAGAAACAGGAAAATGTGATCCACAAAGAGGAGATAAACAAATCAACTGAAATTTATTCAAAACTGAAACAGATGTTAGAACTAGAAAACAAGAACATTAAAACAATTGTAACTGTAGTCTATATCTTCAAAAAGTTAAGTATGTACATGGAAGATATAAAAACAAAAAAACACACCCAACTTGAACTTGCAAAGATGAAAACCAGATGGGAATGAATGCCAGATTAGACATTGTAGAAAAAATATTAGTGACCTTAAAAATACAGCAGTTAAAATTATCCAAAATGAAATAGAGAAAAAAAAAGACTTCCATAAAATAAAATAAAAATCTGTGAGCTGTGGGACAACCTCTCGTAGCCTAAATGAATCTGCAATTAGTCTCCAAAGGAGAGAAGAAAGGTGGAGGACAGAAAAAATATTTGAAGAATAGCTAAAAGTTTTCCAAAATTCATGAAAAAAATAAATTCACAGATGCAAGAAGCTCAACAAATCCTAAGCCCCACCCCACCAAAAAAGGAAAAAAACTACACAAAGCACATCATAATCTAATTGCTCAGCAAGAGATAAAAGAACATATAAAAAATAGCCAGATGGTTAAGAGCTCGCTCAAGAGTTTGAGCTCTGAGCAACAGCGGTTCGAGTCAGCCCGAGCTGAGCAGCCGTGAGCTACCAACAGGTGGCGGGATGGCTCAGCTAAAAAAA